ACCCTAAACCCTACAAGCCTACACCGGCAAGGTGAGTCCAAGCATGAAAAGGTTGCTTGTGAGCTGAATGCTTTTCAAGCCCAGGGCCTGGGAGCCCAATACCCTTTCATTAAGGAATATGGTATATAGGGACCTAATGGGTATATGTAGGGTACATAGGGTAGATAGGATTCAGGGTTTACCCAGGGAGCCCAATAATTCATATTTTAGGGACTCTAGTATCATTCAGGTATCTTCCTCATATAATCCTTAATAAGCTCCATATATTCCCTACAAAATCCCTATGTATTCCTTGGGATATTTTTGAAGTAAAGGGTATTGGGCTCTCTGGGGAACCCAAGATCGAGGAATTGGTGCTTCTGTCGTGGTTGAGGCCTTGTTATGAATCTTAGTCATAAGTCTTAGTCTACTGACTGCGTACTATAGTACCGCCGAATAAAATACTACCCCAACATGAGCGTCCCCTATATATACCCGACTTGTATTTTCGCGGAACCCCAAACCCCCCTATGGCCGTTCATTGTCGGAAACCCAAGCATGAGTGCTCTGGTACCTCCCTGGAATAGTCTGGAAGTCTTGATTGCATAATGGCCTTATGGGTCTCAGTATTACAAAAACGGATGATGTGCAACAATGGCCCACAACTATGCGTCCTTGAGTCCGAAAGGTATCCGCTCGGTGATGAGAATCCAGTTGGATGTCTCCTTGGGAGATTATGTAGGGGTTATATAGGTGTAATACAGGGATTTTATAGGGTATACATTGGGACACTGGAAAAGAAAATGGAAGCTTCTAGGCATTATACGGATTATATGGTAGTTTCCCAAAATTAGGGGTACCTCTTCGCAGGTCCCCATAATAAGGATTATAGTATTTTGGGGTCTAGATTGGGGCCCCTTATTTTGAGAAACTACCATATGGGGATAGGTTGGGGGCTTAGCCTTCTAGGTTGAGCTGAGGAATCGCATTACAATTCAAAGTAAGAAGCCTTTCCGAGAAATTGCTGGGGATCTGCTGTCATGGGCACGCCGAGACTTAGCAAGAGGATTTTGGTAACCCAACACCCCAAAATTTGAACCCTGTAACTTTCACTTAGATGGGGGGCCTGATTTTGAGGGTCTGGGACTATCAAAACCCTTGTGTTATCGGGCATCCAGATCCAGGGGATGAGCCTAAATACTGAACTCAGTGCAGATTCAATTGGAAAATGATATTTGAATGCAATCAGAACTGGGATTTTATGGGGGCAGCGTCCGATGTTCTGCCAGGGCTTCGGGGTGTTCTACATACATACATACATACATACATACATACATACGTACGTACATGCATACATGCACACATGCATACATATATACATACATACATGCGTACCTCCATGCATACATACGTACGTCCATACATACATACATGCATGCATGCATGCATGCATGCATACGTACATACATACATACATACATCCTATTCTTACATGTATATATACATACAATATTGTACATGCATATAAATATATATATATGTACAGTTAAGAGTGACAGGGAAACAAGAATGCTCTTCATGCAGCCTTCAAAGTACAGAGTTCCAAGTGACTTTCGTTCACAGTGTATATATACACATGGCCTTACACATCCCCGTGAAGCCTGTTAAATCATGGGTGCCGCTACCCTGATACCCTCAACCCTACAAACCGGATTTGCCCACCAACCTCCTGTCACCAGCCCTCATCCCTGACAGTTGCCTCCAACGGCTAACGAGGCTGCCTCTGAGAGTTTACCTGGAACGCCAGTAGCCTATAGAGTCGACTTTCCCCTAATTTACTACTACTTTCGGGCACAATGGCCCATCATTATGGGTAGCTAACTACGCTTTCTAGGGATTGCTTGATGTATGTTTATCTTTCTGGTCATCCGTTTGCTCAGACGTCAGGGTTGATGTAGTTCATGCTGTCAGCGCCAGCGTGCTTCATGGCACATAACGCTTAAATTCGCCTCACCCGCCCTCAATGGATGTCATTTAAGCCTTCCCCAAGCTCGAGTTCCATCACTGGTCAGGCAGGATAGCTGTCCCTGCTTCCTGGCAGCTGGTTATATAATTTTCCAAACTATGACCCGTGCAATTTTGGGATGAAACATCTTTCACCATGACACATTGGACTTCAGATGACTTCAGATAGTTGCCCACACCAGGATGCACAGGATCCACCCCCAAGAATATGCTCAACGCCAAAGACTCGCATAAAAGTACCCAAATGGGGCCAATTTCAGATTGAATGGTGCGACTCCTTCGCGAATTTGAAAGTCTGTCCTTAAAACCTTCACAACGATGTTTATACAGGTTTTATTAGTATTAGGTGAGTAATAACAACGAAACGAAAATGTAAGACTCCAAATGTTCGCAGAACATGTTTAGATCTGAGGCAAGAGGCATTTGAAACGTCAGCGAAGTAGTACCTCAGGCAAGGTTCTGGATAAATTCGATCAGTTCATAATCCTAAAGTAAAGGCCTTTTGGTATCTACCTCCTTGTACCCTAAATCCACGTAGTAGCTGCAATTAGGAGAGAGCTCGCAACCCTAGACCCTAAACCCAATCCTACACCTGTGAGCTCGCGATAATCAATTTGCCCTGGAGGTTGGCTTGGGGCCTTCGGTTTGCTTCCCTTAGCAATGGCTTAGGGTTTAGGGTTAGGGTTTAGGGATATGGCGGAGACTAAAAAGTCCTGCATGACCCTCAGTACAGTATCCTTTGGGAATTATGGTGCTATAGTGTATTAAGGTCATGCGAGATTTTTAGTATCAACGGTATCTAGGAGGCAAGCATATGAAGTATATGGTTTAGAGTTTGGGGTGTATATGGTAACCTTCACAGAGAAACTGGTACATAGGGGGATCTATAGGGGATATGTAGCAGCACATAATAGACGAACCAACGCAGGTGCATATACGAATAAATGCGCTTGGATTTACTCAGGCGAGCATTTAAGCCAGTGTCTAAACTCCTTGTATCCCTTTTAATAACCCTTATAAGATCCCCTATATAAACTCAAATAAGGAGTTTAGACGCTAAACCCTAGAAAATCATCTATGTAACCCACTTTAAGGTGAGTATAGACTACGGCTCATTTAGGTTGTGGGGAGTAAGGGGTCGTAGTCTGGCTGGGCCACTCTGACTGCCAAACATCTCTTTACCAGATCAGACGCCTTACGCAAATCGTGGCTCTTAGGGGTTTCCCAAAATTAGGGGTACCTTTTTGGGTGTCCGTATAATGAGGACTGTAGTATTTTGGGGTCTATATTGGGGTCCCTTTATATTGGGAAGCTACCACTTGGAACCCATTTTAAGGAAATAGGGTTTAGGGCTAGATTTTTTGATTGGGTACTTCATATGGACTAGACCTTTCCAGCACTCTTCAAGGGTTCACCTACTAGCCCCACCTCTACTACGCCTCTAGGTTATCCGTTAATAAGTCCAACTGATTCAGGGGGAGCCCAATACCCCTTAACTAAGAAATTTACCCTGGTACTAGGGTCCCTAATAAGAATTCAGCTAGATTCCTTAATTAAGGGGTGTCGGGCTCCCTGGATGATTAACGGGGAACCTAGGAGGATAGGGAGATAGCACAGGCCTGGGCTCTTTAAGTAACTTATAATCATAGTGTGTAGGGCTTAGGGCTGGGAGAAGCATAGTAAAACATGTTCTGGGAGTTGTACGTGTGGCAAAGTAAAAAAATCACGCACCCTGTTGGGGAACCGATGAACTCTAGCATTTCTGGACAGAGAGAAACAGACAACTTAATTAACCCTACCCTGACTAAACCCTAAACCCTAAACTGACTAAAACTTAAACCCCAAACCCTACCATGACTAAACCCTAAAACCCACCCTGACTAAACCCTAAACCCTGAACCGCCTAAACCCCACGCTGACTGAACCCTAACCCCCAAACCCTGACTAAACCCTGAACCCTTAAACCCCTACCCTGACTAAAACCCCAAGACCCCCAAAAGCCTGATCTGGCTGGTACATTCCCCAAGCTTGCAGTTGAAACATCACCCCTATGCTGGCTTGCCATGTCTCCGTGCCCTGAAGCCACATGGACTTTGGAGGTTTTCCGGTGGAATGGTAAGGGGGTTTAGGGTTTAGGGTAACAGTTTAAGGGTAAAATGGTTAAGGGGCTTGTAGATAGTGAAGTTCACAGCTTTGGGGTTAAGACGAGCCAGCTGTGAGGCAGCTGAAGCAATGTGACACATCCTTCTGGCAATACCTGGAAACTACTATAGTACATTGGGGCTATATTGGGTTTTAGGGTTTAGGGTTTAGGAATATTGAGGATATATGGTGTTATATAGGGGGTGCAGCAGGTTTAAAATTTTGGGTTAGGCGGGGTTTAGGATTGCAAGATACTTGAGCGACCTTTTCAAGGGTGCTGTATTATGCGTGCAACTGTACTTCTGCAGCCTTCACAAAGTGGACCAGCTCTAGCGCGGAAGCCTGAATCAGAATTGCCAAAGGCTACAGGCATCCATTCCTCCACCCTACTAGCCACCCCAAGTCTCCAAAAAAAATTGTACACTTCCCACATCTCTAAGCCCTACAAAAGCCTGAGTCCTACGTCGAATTCAGTGGCAAGTAGAACAAGGTCGTTTCCATGTTCTCCCCCTTCCCTCCTAAAGGATAGCGGCCCCTCAGTTAGAAGACTATGCTTCGCACTCCTAGAAGCAATCAAACGGAGTACTTATCCCCATTATCACCAAACCCTCATCCCATATCATAACCCTAAAGCCTAAGCCCTCATAACCGAAGACATAGCTTCGGGAACCCTCCTGAGTGACCACGAGCATTAAGATCCAGCCAGGGTGCCGGGGCACCTGGAAAGGTAGCCGGGACCTGGCGCAAGCAGCATCCGCATCCAAAGTGTCAGGGTTTAGGGGAGGGGCTAAGGTTTAGGGCGTGGAAAGTTTAGGGTTCAGGGTTGACAGGTGTCAGGTAGCAACTCTCGTGGTTTAGTGCTTAGATGCGTTTAGGGCTGCCCATGGTTTCCCCTCCCCCTTATACTACATCCGTCACAGACTAATATTCAAATGTTTGGGGCTATGAAAGGAATACTTGTATTGTTGTGAGGTTGGTGCTGTTTAAATCGGGGCAAATTCATGGGGAACCTAATGTGTTGCATGGGGAGGGGGTAGGGAAGAAACAATGCAAAGTCGGGGTAGCGTCGGGGTGCTCCTAATTTTTAGGAAGTCCCTACACGGTAAACTAATAAAACCTAAGCCCCCAAACCCAACATCCCAAATGCTGAACCCCAAGAAAATAGAGTTTCCATAAATACGGAGCCTCAAAACACGCCCTCGTTTACGAAAATTCTTATTGTAGGGACCCCCACCCCCGACCCTGTAATAGTGGCTACCAGGGATAATAAGGTTTGTAGTAGGGTCCTACTATATTCCTATTATACCACTATTACAATGTGGGGTTGCCCTTAGCTGCCATATATAACCCCATACTAAAATTTGATAGTTCTCATTTTCTTTTCCGTTGTCCCTATATGGTAGTTTCCCAAAATAAGGGGACCCCAATATAGACCCCCAAATACTATAATCCTTAATATTGGGACCCCCAAAATGGTACCCCTAATTTTGGGAAACCCCCATATAACCCCTCAAC